GGCTGGAGATTAATGGGGCAACCTCCTGTATGCAATTGGAGCAACTTCTTTATTGGTCGTTGAGGCGAGATGATGTGTGGTTAGAGATGGGTTGAGGACTCAGATGATAATGATGAGAGAGGCATTGTCGAGAAGTCGTCAAATGGAGATGTGTTTGAGGTTGCTTTCGACTTCGATTCGGATGCGATTCTTCTTGGCTATTCCAGATATGCAGAGCATACTGAGCGATTACACCGGCACCACTGGAAGGTGAAGAATTCATCTTTGCCGGCCATCTCGAGGCTAAATCGCCTGAGTTTTTAGAAAAGGCTGGATAATCCGTGCCTCTTTGTCCAGCCTTTATTCAAATTTTCGACCTCTACGGGTAGGGGTATGACGGGGTCAGGACCCGAGGGAATGGAAGTATTCACGGAAGCAAAGATTTCAAGGGCTCCGGCGCCCGTAAATCAGGATTTCTTCACCGTCGGATTGGACATGATTTAACACGTGGCTTAAGTTTGAGGCGGCACGATGTTTGTGTACGTAGCAGTAGTGAACCTCATGCAGTCCGGCCGCACCCGTGCTCAAGCTGCCAACCTAAGGCGTACGCCACTAATTGCTCAGCACGTTCATACAAAAATAAAAAAATCAAGACGTAAGTAAATGTGACATACGATTTATTTTCCTTATACGAACAATGATTTAGTTGCTTCATAGTGTGATACTTGAGTGTATGACTACCTATAACGTTTGGCTCCTCTATGGCCTAAGCCACGCTTTTTAGAGTGCTCCTATACTCGTTTGGCAGAATGTAAGATTTCTAAGATAATGCTCATAGATAGCTGCATAACTCACTAGCTTCCCGTAGAATCTGGCCTCTGTTTCTACGGAACCTTCTGCTCAAAAAGTAAAGCGGTAGCCATAAAAATAGTGTGCACGGGAAAAGTTATAAAAAAACGCATGTCCCCGCCACGCGAATTGCATATTTCCTTCTACATCTTCCGTACTCGTAACAAGAGCCAAGTCGATCTGATCCACCACCGCCGTATTGGGAGCTGGGTATACTCCAGAATCCGATGGGATAGTTGCTCCTCCATGGCCAAGAGGAGTGAGTGGAGGACAGGCAGGGTTCCGACTTTGCCATTAGGTGTAGCCGTGTTTAGCTTAGTGATAATGCTGCTTGAGAAGGGCAAGACTGAACACCTGTACACGGTGTCCTCTACAAACCTGGGAATGAAATATTCTCCCAGAGCCAAGTTCAGTCAAACTCCGCAATACCGATCAAGTTGGCCCACGAGGCAATGATTCAAACTACTCCACCACGTCAAATCTTCACTCCCAAAGAGTCCGACTCATACTTAAGCCTCATCAAGTCTACAAGTACGACCAAGTACATCCTTATTCCAATGACCACACCGCTCTTCGACCTTCTCTGGCCTCAGCTGATCACCAAATACACGCCCACGCCGATATTTACACCCGACAGAGGAAACAAAGCGTGGCGCACAAACGTAGGAGACTGTTCTTTGGGATGGAATTGAGGGGACTCAGCACAAGTTCACAAGATGATGCGAAGCAAGGATACAGTCTCAACGGGCGTGGAATTTCGGATATTGACGAGGAGTTTTTACAAATCGAGCTTTGTGCGTGCCAAGTCTTCGGTTGCGAGAGTGCAGGCGACACTATAAACACCGCTATGGTTGGATTGTGCGGTGGTACATCGTCTTGGCCGATATGCCCAGTAGAGTCCGGATAGCTTGGACACATATCCCACTCGAGACAGTAAATCGCTGGTTCAAATCCGGCAAAACACATCCACTTTTCTCGCGAGGCTGGTATACATGTGAGGTTCCTGATGGATTAGTATGTATGAAAAGTGAGATAAGCTTAGCTTTAAGATGGCGTAGGTTACGGGTATCTCGTGGCTCCAAACTACTAATATGTATAGTAGAGCTTAAGACTAGATGTAACTTGGTTTTCTATTAATACAGGGTATCGTCTACACAAGTACAGTATTCCTTATCTTGCGCCCGGACTCCAACGTGAACAACATTACATAAGCATTTCAATTTATGAGAGCCTCGTACTAATCTAGAGGTCTGTCAATCTTGGATCCTCACATGGATGACGAAGGCATGCTTAGATAACTAAAGATTTTGAAATATTCCTTTGGCGGTTACGCACGGAAGAGATCGACTGTTTGTGTAAGCGAACATACCTCAGTTGTATCTGCAAATAAAATCCAAAGTACGAGTGTCTCCAATATCAAAAGTGTCATCCACCATGTACACATAGCACCGGTCATGTGTCATAGCTTTATAGCTGAATACACGTTAAATGATTTAAAAAAAACATTGGCTCAACAAAATTTCTGGCCGAACATGTATAACACAGTAGGCATATTTTGCACCATAGATCAACAGTGTGGTAAAGTCGAAAACTAGCGCCTATTTGGATAGCTCTTTTTTTATGTCATTTGATTCTATTTACTTATCTAGCAATGACACATGCTGGGAGGCTTGTGACCTTGGAGATACTCATGCCCTGTGTTTCATTTTGCGAATACCACTATAAGGTATGTTTGCATACACATATAATAGAGCCTCCTCCGTAAGTACCCACAAAAGTGAAATTTAGAACCATTGATTATCCAAGCATGAATTTGTCAATCACGTACACTAGCACTGCGAGAAATGTGATTGAGTTCTGTCAGATTCGAACCAGTTGTCTTCTATCTTAAGTGGGATAACTGGGCAAGCTACCAAAATTTAACTTGGGAGACCGATCTAGATGATGTAGCAGCGCACCATTCGACAATGAAGCTGTTTATTATGCTGCCTGCACTCTCGCTTTTGAGCGCTTGGCGCGCAAAAAGCTTAATCTTTTAACTCGCCAGAGGTAAGAATCTCACACATAGACTTTGTACCCATCCTCTGCATAATCCTGTAAACTTGTCCTGATATCTCTCGCGTCCATAATTAAGAACTGCCTCCCAAATTTGCACATCACGGTTTATTTCCTCTATTGGCTTTAAAAATCGCCATGGGCATTTATATGGAGGCCATTTGGGACCGGAGTCTGATTTGAAGGGAGTTATCGTCATGGAAATGAAGATGTACTAGACCGTGCTTGATGATTTATTAAATTTTGCTCCGAAATCATCTTCTGGGGAGTCGAGACTTAATTTTGTGTAGGGTCTTGAATAATTGCATCGTAGGCCCAATGCCTTAGTATTTCGAAATTTGACTGAACTAGACTCTGAGAGAATATTTATTGACCAGATTCGCAGAGGACTCCGCAGACAGGTGTTTAGTCTTTGCCCTCCTCCAATGGCCTTCGTTACGTTGATCGGAGCGGGCGATAAAGTGCAAAGGGTCCCCCTTATTGTACGATAGGACTGTCGGATTTCGAGACTCTCCATGGCAGCACTTGCGCATTATATCTTTCGTATGAGATTCCTAATAAGATCAATACTTTCATTACATGTTTCATTTGCGCTAAATGTATTCTTTGTCGTACATGATCTCACGGTGATAGATGACAATTAGCCAGCTTTGACTAAACAATTGATAGCGGATTGAGAAGTGCAATAAGTCCTGTCAGGATTTTGCGAGATATTACTTAAAAGGGTTGAGGATAGGTATTCATAGATCAACCAGAAAGTGGCAGAATTATTATACTTACAACCAAAAGATACGTCTGGGTGGATAAGTGACTTTGACTTCCCTTTGTTTTTACTGAGCAGGTACGTCTCGTTCATCATGGGTTCCTCACTGCACTAAGAGCGGTTGGAGTGTAAAAAGCATCTGACATGTCATACACAATGTCAGATACACGCCTGTTGCTGGCTTTCGCATTAGTATAGTCTTGCTGACGTCACAAATTCCAAAATGAACAAATTACTGCTTGCATGTGAGGAAACTTTGGATCTGTTCCATGGATGATAGTATGAGTCTAAAGTTGTCATAGTTGTGAATAAATCCTTCTTCTACACTTCCCAATTCTGTATCCATATAAAATAGTACAGAGTATATTTGAAAGATAAGTAAAAGCTTATGACGGGTAGTACTGTCGAAACGAGACTGTAAGATAGGCATAGGGGAACACATACTTCCGGAGGCACAAGTATCTTTGGCCTGTAGATAGAGGATTTGCGTGTACTATATATTGATAGATTGAAGATTGAAAATATTAATGACATGACTGGTTTCGAAGACTTCTAGATAGCTACGTAGCTAGTCCATTGTAAGTAGTTTTTACCGGCGATTGTAGTGATCGCCGGTTCGAACTGCCACTAATTTACTTCCTTCTACTTAGTCATGCGTGCTGTATTACGTGGACGAAAAGCCAATGCCAATATGGCCAGTACCTTTTTAACACCTTCAAGATAATCGAGTTTGTAGTCTCGCGAGATTGAATGATTTTATATTCGCTGTATCAATGTCAGGGAGAATAAAGGCGGAGATAGGCGCACTAGAGTACTTATTATGTGGAGAGAACAGTGAAATTCGATAATTTTCCCAAGCCCAAAATTAGATTGTAATTAGTACTTGGCTTTTACTGCATCAAGTTATATGGCAACCAGGCCAATGAAACTTGCATCCATTCCCGCATCTAGCGAGAGTTTATTCCAAATCTACCAGCTAGCTCTTCGAGTGGCAGAGTTTCGGGAGTACGCAATCGGATGATTAATGAATAGCTTAGTCGAGCTTATTCTAATCATTCCTTTCTTGTTTCAAGTTAATCAGCCTATCTATCTTCAGAAACTTGAGCCTCAGGTAGCAAATAATTTCTGTAGTCGATGTTTTTGTGGTACCACACCCGGCGGCGGTAAATCGATCGTTGTTGATTCGAATATGTCGTGGTAGAGGTATTTTCTTTGAAAAGATTAATCAAATCTTTGTGAGCATTCACCGACGAAAGGCAGAACAATAATATAGAAACATACTCAGTGAGGACGACTATTTCTAGTCACTTGTCAGAGTGAACATGATTAAGTCTGTGTTTTGAAGATATGCTTTTCACATCCACAAACAAAGCTTGCCACTTGCTGTGCCACCTGCTATCCAGTTTTCGGTAGGGTGAAATCTAGCGACTGCAGGGACTGCGGTGATCCCTTCACCACCAAGTTGTGCTACCTGCTGTCCGGTTGAGCTATAAACATCTACAAATCTGTTCATATTTCCAATAACAAATTTAGGTATGCCATCTTGTGGTCTTTCTTGCCAGTGCGGTTTTAAAATTGTGACCCATCGACCAGTTTGGTTGTTGTGCTTAATTATAACACTAGGCGCTATTTCATCTTCACTTAGCTCGTAGTCAATCTTCAGGACATCTTTGGTTGGAAGGGCATGAATCTTGATAGTATCATCGTAGGAGGAAGTTGCTATGTGTCCGCTGAAGGACCAAGACGCATGAGACACAGATAGCCGCGATTCATGCTCTCCCATCAGACAAGGTGCTCTAGCATCTTTTGGTCCTTTGATGTTTCGCAAATCCCAGATCTTCAAAGTGCGATCCAAGGACGCGGTAGCTACGAGATGAGGCGACTGAGGATTAAGCGAGAAGCCACCCAGTTTTTTATCTACTAATTGCCATATTTGGGTGCTGGTGGAGACACGTAGGTCATGGCGACCGAAGGAGCCGTCTAAAGTTGAAAAGTATAGAATATTTCGATCTGTAGGGGAAAGCTCAGCACAAGAGATAGGCATTTCTTCGTCTATGTGCGCGGGTGCGAAAGCTTCGATAGATATACCCTTTTGTAGATCAAATTCTCGGATAGAAGAGTCGTAGGAAGATGAGTAGAGCTTATCGCCATCCAGTGAAAACGCTAGAGAGGTGACTGTTTTTGAGTGAATCTTCAAAGCTGTGATGATAGGTTCTGATCGTTTTATGTCGTCTTCATCGTCATCTTCTGCCTTAATATCTGGAATGTCTTGCGACGCATCAAATATTCCTATATTTCCTTCCTTATCACCTGCAAATATAAGAGGCTTGTTGGCAGATGGGTGAAAGCTAAGAGAGTATACTCGCTCAGGTGTAACCTTGATTTCTTATAGTCGTGAATAATTTTCTCATTCAGTGGAGGGGATTACTTACGATTTGGCTCATATCCTTCATAGAGGGTTAGGCCTGAGATTCCTTCTCTCAGAGATCTTAGATCGGCATCAACGGTATTCTTTGAATAGTCTTCAGTGAAGGTATGCACATTGGGCTGAGCACCTTTCATGATAATATTCAAAAATTTATCATCGGTATTAAATTTTTTACCATCCACAATAATGTCAGTTATCTGGAGCTCTCCGGTAACGCGCTGTCTCTTGGCTTTTGCTTGCTCTTTCGCGAACTCGTATTCTACTTGAGCCTTTCTTTTCGCACCTTCGCTGTCAGCCTCTAATCCGGCCAATCTTGAGCTTGTCCTAGTTGGACGCGCTTCTTCTCTTCTTGTAGGCCTTGTGGTTTTACGAGCTGGTGCAATCTTTGATTTAGATTTGCTCACAACTTTTGTCGCTATTTTCGCGGCATTTGAACCTAAATCCTTTAAGATGGCCTGGTTCATCGCAATATTCTCGAGCCGTTTACGCTCGAATGCGCTCATAGCGGAATTTTCTTTACCCTGAGATGCCATGTTGTAGGATATTACCAGCGTAAAATTTGAAAAATTCTCAATGTGAGCTGCTGAGGTTATTGTTTTGATTATACCATAAACGCGTGAAATATCAGGTCGTGTAGTTTTGATTTTACCTGAAGCAAAGTTCCTTATCTGGAAAGCCTAGCGATAAAGGAGTTTGGATAATTAATAGCTGTTACGATTGCAAAAGAATAATTCAGTCGTCACACATCATGAGTAACACTAGTTAAGTATGGATACAGTAGGGAAGCTTTATGGGTTTACTATTACATCGTGAGGCTACAATTATGTCTATTGAGCTCCCACCTTTTCTATTCCCAGCGCGGAACCTCCGTGTAATCCATAGAAAATTTATTTATTTGCGACCAGTCCTAAAAATTCGACAACGAACCTTTTCTGATGAGCGATTGCCCTCTCAATATCATCTGTTTCGGGATACCAGAGTTTCTAAATTTCATAACCCAAGACGAGCTGCATCACGTCGTAACTTATCTGACTCTAGCAATAACGATGAGGACCAAAACCAGAATTTTACCGTCAGAAGAACAACAGTCGCTCGGGGAGTAGAAGCTCCGCAGCCAGGTGCATGGAATTTTAACCCTTATACAATTTCCTTCGAAGGAGAACCTCAAGAAAAGAAAAGTACCTACAACGAAAGTATCAATACGAGGGAAAATTATGAACTCGACGACTTTGAAATGCCCATAGATGACACTCAAATTGAACTGGAAGAGGTCCATGATGAAGATTTTTTTCAGGACGGGAATGAAGAACATCTGAATCTAGACGAAGGACGGTATGAGCAAAATTCTACCATAACAGCCTCTGAAAAACATGCGTTCCAAAAGATCTTCAAAAATATATTTGAGACTAAACAGTGGGCAGAAAAATCTGCTATATTTGGCGAATCTATCGATAGTGACAATGATACTGATGCTGAGTTGAGTAGAAACCGTCGTCGTGAAGCCGATAATCAACTCACACAAATTATATCGGAGTCATACTTCCAGACCCCCAAAACCAAGGAAGAAATAGAAAACGTGGTCAAACAATATCCCCCAGCCTTACAAGCCAGTGCTGCGCAGGCTATGGGGCTTGACGATTTAATAGAAGGGGAAAATATCGTCAACTCTGATAGAAATTCCGATCAGTACTACAGCTCCATCGATATCAAAGCAGATCTCTCTGACAAGACTAAAATACTGAGTGAACAGAAGCGAATAAAAGATCTTGAAGCCAAGATTGAGTCTGTCAGGGAGTCAGAACAATCCCGAGTTGAAGCACTTATGCGTGCTGCCCAGACTGACTTTGAACTATGGAAAGTCCTCGAAGATGAGGTGTTTATTTTGGTAAAGAAGATGGGCTTAGAAGAAATTCCTAAGCCAGTAATAGAATTATCACCAGTGCGGCTGAAAAAGACAAAAAGTAGAAAGCTATCGAACTCCAAATCTAAAGGACTCATTTCAGTTAATATGCCACTACTCGAAAAAAGCATGCGACTTGACCAGAAAAATATTCCAACAGATGAATTAGCATCCCAACATAATGTTCCGCCCCTTCAACTCTATGGCCCTCTATATCCTTCATATCTTCTCCTTGGGCTTCGTCTCCTAGACCGCTCTTTTTCTAGGCCTTCCCCCTTAGCACTATCTATTCTTCCAAAGATCAAATCTTTAGGATACATCTCCCGTGTTCTAGGTGCGAGCACGCAATTGTATAACGAATTACTCCTTATCTACTGCTATCGGCAGAATTATTTCCAGGGAATGTTACGACTCCTGGAAGAAATGGAATTTAGTTCCTTAGTTATGAACCAGGAAACGCTAAATATTGTCGTGCAACTTAGTCGGACACAGGATCGTATCAGACAAGGTACACAAGGGGTTGGGATGAGTCAACTCTGGGCTCTCCCTAATTTTGCTAGAGGAAGATTTGGGCCGTGGAGAGATCATTTGCGGGAGAAAATCGAATCTGAACGGCTGCTGCAGCAAAAAGATTCAGCTTGGATGAGGTCCGGATTACTTCCACGCTCTAAGCAGGTAGGTTAACGAGACATTTTGCGTCACATGGCTCTGTACTACTAGTAAATTATTTCAGTCTACGACGTTGAATTTCTACCTGAATGTATGGCCTAGTTTCCAACTAGACAAGCCGTGGCCAACTCACCGTGCACACTGTTGTATACACTTGACTGATGATGCATTTTGTGTTTAGTCGCTTGCAGAGAAGATTTTAAGCCTTTTCAACTTTTCTGACTGGTGACCGCTTGTTTACCATGTATCTCTACCACACCTCCCTAATCTACTCTGGTCTTCTAATTTTATATGCAATTTTTCCTGGGTCTAGAATACCTGATTACAGTGTCACTTATGGGGACACTCTTTCAGTCTAGCAAGAACTCTTCGAGTCCTTTTTCGAGGCGAATGGTAATTTGTTATGATACAAACCAGTAGTTTAGCTATATATTTAATTTGTCTAAGTGTCGGGATGAAGAAGTATCCCAAGACAACGATAGTAATCGACAGAAATGATAGAGAACTCGTTCTACCTCTACTAAGCTGTGCCGTGGTTCCTGCTCTTGTCCATGGCATTATTATTCCGCCACGGTAGACCAAGTTAAGCTCATCTGCACAGGAATTTACTCCGGATTTCAAGTTTGACTCGGCGCTGCCCCTAGGATTTCTCTTGACGCAATCTAGGCGCGACTTCGCCGTGTATTTACTGCCATCTGCTGTGCATTGTCTCGTGCTCATATTTTCAGAGAGGCTCTTCGCATTATAAGGCCTAAATCTGGGGATAAGATTGCAAGTAAAGGGGTACCGCGCGATTGCTCACTATCGATGGCTGTGAGGAGCTCGCCTCAGATGTTACGACCATTTTTGAAATAGATGGAACGCCAGCCGACATTTCGTTCGGCTGGAGTGTTAAATATACAGCTGGGTTGAATGAAATGCAATAGTGGATATTATTATTTCATTTTATTGTCCTGTCTTAGTCTATGATTATATAGCGGATATAGGTCCTCTCTGCCTATAGGCCAAGGGTACACATACCAGCAGTATATCCCCTTCTATGCTTCCTATACAGTTCCCCTCAAACAGTACCACCCCTCACAAGTCTTCGTTCGATCATACACTTAGGAGCCCTTTGCCCTTCGTTATCTCCCCTCTCCAGCTAACGAAACGATGGCCATTTGCGGGTGCATGGCAGTGTCACGGAATGAGTCATTATAGGAACAATCGTGCGAAGTTAACCAAGTCTATTCTGATTATTTACAAAAATGATATACAAATTATGTCTCTACGGTGTAGTTAAGGGTTTGTAGAAGGTTGTATGGTGCAGTGGTACACCATCCGGGCCGTTCTCCCAAGTAGATACTGGATGGCTTGAACACCTACCCCATTCGAATTAGGAGAAAGCTGGTTCGAATCCAGTAAAACCCACACACCACTCTCTCTCGCGGTGATATTATACTTGTGAGATGATGAAAGCACACTCGGGTAGCCACAGGGTTTTCACGCTTTTCCCTGTGGTGGGTATGCGCGGAAGAGGTTACACGCCGCAAGGGTTACCCTCGAGTGATATCTGCAAATGAAATCTGAGTGTGAGTGTTCAAAATGTCAAATTGAGTCATCCTACTTAAGTACATATCTTCCGATAAAACCTGCATGCGCCTCAAGGCGCCAAATAAGGAAAAATGAATAATATTTATATAAGGGTTTATAGAGTAAAGATATTTTACAGGGGTAATGTTAGTGTTATCTGAGATCGACATTGCTTAATTGGTCTCTAGACCTTGTCCAGGGAACCTATCCTGTTATCCTTAAGCCTGTAACAGGTAGCCGTGGAAAATCGAAAAAGCCACTGGATGCAGGGCTCTTCTAGTACCGACATTAGGACTAAATCCGTAGACATAGTGAACCTTCTGGAGCGTTCGGAGTGGCCGGCAAGCTGAGCGCTGCAGACTTGTGGATGCCTCTGGAAATTCACCCTCTGCCTTCTAGTCTCCCTCCAACTCCTTCTCGAAGGTCGTGCTGAAATTTCAGAAAAGCTTTGACAGAGCGTGATTGCTGTATGGTTCCTTAGCCTAACTTCTTTTATACTGTCCAGGGCTCTGGAGAGTGCCGTTGACTCATCGACAATGCAAGTCCTCCTGGCTGCACTAGTGGGTGATAAGTTCGTAATTCTAATGCGTTAAGCCCTGCTTGCGTTCTGCAAAGATGGATTTTCAAGCGCCGATGTACAAGAGGGATGGTGCTCTCTCCCTACGATGTCTCGTCTCTGAAAATTCAATAAATTTACGGTTGTGGTATCCTTGCAAATTCATGATATATGATTTGAGATTTATTGATGATATATCTTGGGAAATCCAACCACCAGAAGAGAAGATTGGGGTTTACAATAAACTATCGTAGGCCAAAACTGGGATTAAAGAGTCTGCTGTACTCTGACCAGTCCGCTGTAAATTAATAGGCTGTGCACTAAAAGACAATATTAATCCAAATAGCTGTTGCGGGAATACTCCCTTGTGTTTGTACTGTTAGCGCCAGTACGGTAGGGGTGGAATCTAGGGTCTAGTCAGCTATAGAGACTACCAAGGGTGGAAATTGGTTACGACCGCTTAGCAACGATGACTGTTATGATCGGCGTTCTTCATTGCATTTCATTGTGTATATAGCTTTGTAAGAAATCTTCATTTACGAGATTTAGCTGATTGACTGATTAGGCATGATGTGCTGTACACCAACATCAATCGATCCGGCGACAATAACTACTCAATTGCATGAACATACCTTATCCAGTAAGTTCCGAAAGGCCTCTCCTAATCCCAGAATCTGAAACGCCCTTTCTTTGATGGCTGAGAAGGGAGTATTTTTGGATCCAGCTAATTAAAGGAAAGGTCTGCTGTCTGCTGTGATTGGGCTTGGACGAGCGGATTGGTAGTGTGAAGAAACCAAGCCAATTAGCATAAAGTGAAAAAAGACTAGAAAATACACAGAGAAAAGCAAAATAACCACGAAAAATGGCTATTTGTGCATCCTATCACCTCGCCAAGCCTGCATATTTTTTTTTGTTCATTTACGTGCTAGGTAAAGTGATTCCCGTTGCACTCCTACTGGAGATTAAGCACGGGTGGGGCCGGGCTGGATCAGGTTAATTACCATTAAGTACATCTACCTCGTCCCACCTGAATGACCGGACCACCTCAGACTTCACCCATGTGTTAAATCATGTTAAGCCCAACCGTCCAGAGAACCCCCTTTTGATTGATTGATTGATTTTATTTTTTAGGTCCTAAGCTAAGCTCTATATCTCCTAGGAGTCAAGGACCGGCGTACACGGCCGAGATCATGCTTCCCACATGCCCAACTCGGTCCCACCGCGTGAACCACTACACAACCAGTAGCTAGTGAAAAATGAAATGAAAAACACCCATAAATTCCCTTAACAAAAAAATTCCAAATCCAATACTCCAATTTGAGGTAGGAAAGCGACACTTCTCGTCTCGTTTCCCTTCCTGTCAAGCTTCGTACTACGACCTAATTAATGTCCTCTCCGCTGAGAGCTGGAGACGGACTCGCAGGTTGGCCCCCGAAGCAGCCGGTTTCCTGCACAAAATATGTGAAATTCTCAAGGCACTTAGGCCCGAGAAGCTTTTGGACAAAGTCGTGATGTGACATTGTCCCTCGAGGTCGAAGCGTTTGGCGTGCGTGCAGTCGACAGTGAATGAAGTGGAGAGGCGTTGTTTCCTCTCCACACGCACACTCCATGGAAGCGGCGAAATTGTTGAAACGACGATGGCATGCAGCGAAGTTTCCGTGTCCCGTACGGGCTGAGATCAGTTTACGAAGTAGCCGCCGGGAAAGTGCCAGCTCGCGTGGCTTGCGTCGTCGCATGAGAAGACCCAGGTTACGATATCTAGGTGGACACGCTTCTTCCCACCAGTCGTCAAGAAGCGTTTGCCTGTTCCGGTTCATGAGCCGACGAACGTACGCCAACGTGACGGAGCCAGGCTGGCTCTCTTGACTTGGCAGTTGTCGGAGGCCGGAGCGTGCAGCTCTATCGGCCTCTTCGTTTCCCTGTATCCCGGAGTGGGCTGGTATCCACTGGATCGAGACTCGAGCCTTTTCTGATAACGCTCTAAATTGGCGCACGTCGTCGAAACTTGTTGTGGCATTTCCCGTCAGCAGTGCCTTCACTGTAGACTGACTATCCGTCAACACGTTGATCCGCCGCCTGCCGTCGCTTCCACTGTTCTCCCTCTCCAGCAATCCCAGCGCAGCTTCCAGGGCCTTTCTCGCCCCTACAATTTCCGCATCAAGCACTTCACCACCATGCTTGATGCCGCATCCCCTCAACAGAGTTTTTCCATCTCTCTTCAAGACGAACCCCCATGCTGAGCGACCATGTCCCTCCGACGATCCATCCGGGTAAGCACAAATATCCGATGCTAGTACATCTCCAAGGAACCGAGTAGCCTTTTCCTCCTCCTCTTTCCTTGGGCCAGAGCTCGAAAAATAGCATGGCGGCGGCAGAGGCTCGGCGTCTTCCGCGTCCGGGAGTTGACGGTAGGCCCGCTGTACTCGTGACATCTGGATCCCCGGATTCTTGGGTACCCGAGCAGACTTCTTGTACTTCCGTGTTCCAACGTTTGGACACACGGCGGCACGAGTCCGGAGCGGATGTCGGTTGTCTAGTGAGTGCAGTCGAGCCGAAAACCGTAAGCGGTTCCCTTCCAGAATGATCTTTCCAGTTGGGATACCTCCTTCGCGATGGAGAACAAGATTCGATGTCGTTCTCATTACCGGAAGGGCAGCGAGCAGTCCTGTCAAGATTGCCTTGTCGATCATCTCGCAGAAGATGCTGGTTCGAGGTGTGATGATTCCCCTAATGGTCGGACGTTTGAGGCCGGGCCACCAAACATCTGATCCAAAAGTTGCTATTGGGACAATAAAAGTATCCACTGCTCGAACTAGTGCCGCAGGAGCGGCTCCTCGATACGCTGAGTTGAAACGGCGCATGTGCTGGGCAACCTTCAATGCCTTTACACACCAAGTTGTGACGTGGTGTTTGAAGTCCAGTCGCGGGTCTAGGTGTATTCAAAGCCAGCGTGTTTGGTCTGCTGGCTCGATAGTCACGCCGTTCACACGAATAGCCACCGGATTCTCGCGTTTCCTGCCGGGAAACTGGGCTATCTCCGACTTGTTAGTATCGAAGGAGACTGCATTGTTACTTGCCCACTCCAGAAGATGATCGACTTCCTTCTGTACAGAAGCGGCCAACTCAGCAATGCTGCGCCCGAACCCTAGGATCCCGACATCGTCTGCGTAGCTGAACCTCATTCCTGGGTTGCCGCTTCGCATAGGCTCTGCCATGTATAAAAGGAAGAGAAGTGGCGATATCGGTGATCCCTGCGGAACCCCACAAACTAGCTTTCTCTGCCCAGTAACCCCTCCGGAGTATCGGACTTGTACCTTTCGTTGTGCAAGAAATGAAGCCGTCCATCGAAGAATCGAGTCTGGCCACCCCTGCTCTTGCATCCTCATCACCAAACGGTTGTGGAGTACTGCATCGAATGCGCCTTGGACATCGAGAGTCGTGAATGCGGCCGCCCATCCCTGGGTGCTTGCCTCTTCGATGTCGTGGACTACGCAGTTGACGAGGTCGTTTGCCGACCTCTTAGGGAGCGCTCCTAATTGTTGGTATCCGACAACGTCGAGCGTTACTGCGAGATGGGCCATCCGCTTCGCCAAGAGTCGTTCCAGTCCCTTACCCAAGCATGACAGAAGTGCGATCGGTCTCCAGCCCTTGACAGTCGTTGGATCTCGGTTCGTCTTACGTAGGAGCACCACTTCAGCCAGCTTGAAGCAGGATGGGTGGGTGCCGAGTCTGATGCAGGCGCGGAAGAGAGTGCCGACAAATGGTCCAATCGTCTTCCAACATGTTCGCAGAAGCTCCACAGAGATCCCGTCTGCTCCAGGCGCTGTGTTGGCGCAGCCTACGGTGCACATATGAATCTCTTCGTCCGAGACATGGTCGTTCCAGGGGATTCGGTCGGTACTCGGCACATCATGTGGCGGTAGGTCGTCCGTCGCTTGGTGTCGTGCCAAAAGAGCATCCCGGAGTACCGCTGCTCGCTCGGCCGGATAGGAGTACACCTTCCCTTCGTGGTTAAGTGGAGAGAACCCCCTTTTTGCCGCGCCGAAGCGCAAATTCCTCCTCAGCCTCGGCCACCATCGCCGTCTGTAACTTTTCCCTTTCATTCTTTCCCAGCTTTGGCTCATCTCAGCATCTCCTCATCTCATCCAGGGGTCGTTTTCTTCACTGGAGGCCTCATCCAGTCGCCCACCAAGGCCTCCTCAGTTTGGATTCCCTTTTTAGTTTCTTCATACGGCATCCCTCTGTCCTTCAACCAATCTCGTCATACCAGAAACTTTGTAGAATGTCCACCCCTCCGGCCTTGCCCCGTCGCTGCCGTATCCCTAACCGTAGAGGTCGAAAATGCGACTGAGAGCTCAAGACCAAGACACCGGTGCCCCAGCCTTTGTCGAATGCTCTAGTTAGTGTGCCGGCGAAATATCATACGTATTTCGTCGGTGGCGATTCGTCGTAGGCCGAGTTGTTGGTGCCCTTGGCCGAGGTGAGCACGCATTCAAGGCCGTTATTTCGACCGTACCTTCACAGCGACTGGCAGTTGCGGAGGGTCAGACATCCTCTTGCTTCTTTGATGGCGATTTGGCTTTTGGAGGTGTGGGATTACTACGGTAGGTGATGAGATGAGTTTGGCTAGGAATGATTTTCTAGAGAAATAGAAGATAAGATGTTGAAGGTGTCGGTTATTGTGATACGAACATCAGACAGGTTATAGCCTGTCTGCGGTTAGTATCTGGGGTGTACATGGTTGAATTCGTTGAGTTGTGCAGTCGTGAAATCTCTAAAAGTCGGATTTTCGACCAAAAATAAGCCAACACCACTCCTCCCGATCACCAACTGGACGAAAACCCTCAAATTCACCCTTTGTCGTGACTGAATCTCGGCTCTGGGAGAATATTTCACTTCCAGGTTCGTAGAGGACACCACTGACAGGTGTTCAGTCTTGCCCTCCGACTTGTGGCTCTACTATAGCTAATTCCGTAGAATGTAATAAATAAGCTCGATTCTTGAATTCCGCTCTTCTCCCCAAACGCCTGACTTAGAGATTATAATTTGTACGTAGCTTAGTAATAGCATGGTAACCGCATTCAGTGGTCAATATTATGTTACGTAACCTGCTTTGATTGGAATCATACGGCTTCGATAGATCTGATCGTGGTTAGTTTCATGATAGTGGTGATAATGATTTGTGTTGAGAGATGAAGTCGATATAGACGGCGAAAGCGACTGGGAAGCCTCGCCGAACTAAGGACTTTGTTACTCAATATCGGCTCTGCAGATTCTATAGTGAGAGTTGGAGGTTCGTAGGGGACACCATTGTGAGGTGTTCAGGATTGTCCCCCTGATTTATTATTTAGATAGAGAGACTTTAAGTGTACTAAGACCTAGAGTGATAAAGGATGGAAATAACATGTTACTGGCATCAAGATTATAATTTATGTATTTAAATGTATGCTTTAAACGTAAACACACTTATACTTTCATCTGATGTAATGCGTGCCACCCTATTTTGAAAGGCAATCAGGTACATAAAGGTGTTTAGATGTAATTACATTCTTCGTTAAACCTCATTTATAGGTACCAATTGTTTTACTTTTCAGCATCAAAGTCATTACCTAGAACGTACATAAACTGAGCGAGCTAGTTAGTCTTTCTGGAAGCGGTGCATTTCAAGAGCCGTCATGGCAAAGTCATAGATTAAGTAGTTTCACATGACTCGCTACTACAACACTAGGGGACGGGGCCTCTCCCCCATGCAAACAATCGGGCCTCTGCATGTGATGGGTCGCAAGGATTAACCTCTCAGTAGGACTCTACTCTAGTTGACGATTCGCAGCAGCAAAGCATACCTATGCAATATAATCGTAACGCGCAATGGAGCCTGATGAGGAATCAAACGAAGAATTAGCTCACCGGCTGGCAAAACATCATGGAGCACACCAAACAAATGATATACCGGAGCGTTTTCAAGATGGAGATGATGCGAATGAGGACTGTACAGCTCTATCAGCCGCCAACTCATACATGAATCAGTCAGTTTTTGGTATGATAGCAGCAGCTGGTTCCCAGATCGATTTCAATGCTAGATTTGACGCCCATTCTAGCGACGATAATGAAGAAGATACCCCTAGGCAATCTGCCGAACACCAAATAGATGAAATGCGTGCGAACACAGTACCAACAAAGTCTGGAAAAGAGAAAAGTTCCAACTTTTGTCGCCATATTGTTCATCCTAGTCACAAGCCTGTAGCAAAGTCTAAGTCGGGACCTCCTACAATAGCAGTCGATAATATATCTCTTCACGAACCTACTAGCTTGCCAGTTCAAATTCAATCCCGAACATGCACAACACAATCCATGGTCATGAGTCGTATGTTGAAGGCAAGAGAAAATATGTCGCTTCAACCTACAACAAATCCACCTCACGCCGTGGGTGAAAATGCTGAAAGCGAAAAACACGAGGAAGAAAGCATCTCCAACAGTTTATCGAAAAAGCTCATGGAAATATTTCAGTTTGAAACGCCAGAACAAGTAATTGAAGGTAACATCTCTCGTTCAAAAGTCATATTTAAACTTTACTAATAGAATAGAGTTTCCATGCTGGCTGATGAAAAGCGCCTTACTTCAAGGCTATATGTACATCACTACGAAACACATATCTTTCTATGCATATCTCCCAAAGCGATCTGTAAGTGAAGATGTAATTTACACCACGGGAGCTAAAGTGCTACTAGAATGAAGTTGTAAAATCTGGATATCTCTCTAAATCAGGACGCCGAAATCCGAAGTACAATCGCTATTGGTTCAGACTTAAAGGAGACGTGCTATCTTACTATATAGATTCCTCAGACTTGTACTTTCCGCGCGGTAATATTGATCTAAGATACGGAATATCTGCGACCCTTCATACTAAAGAAAACTCCAAGAATGCGACAAGCCTTACCCTTGTCACTCATCAAAGAGAATATAAATTCAAGGCTGATAGTAGCCCGAGTGCTAAAGAATGGGTCAAGGCGCTTCAAAAGATTATTTTTCGATCTCATAACGAAGGCGATAGTGTCAAAATTTCTATACCTATCGAGAATATAATGGACATAGAAGAAAGTCATGTTATCGAGTTTGCCGACACATGTAAGATAAGAGTTGTCGATAACGATGATACCTATGCTGTTGACGAAGTAAGTAATGAAATAGAGTTCAATCCTGGAGTTTCGGGCTAATTAAGATTCCAGTATTTCTTTTCTTTTTTTAGTTTTGGGAAAGAAGCTTTAAATTTACTCCGTGGTATAGTTGAGGATACTGCAGCCCAGCACATACCTAAAGAACTTTTAAAACTTTCGTGTCATGGCAAAGTAGATGCTTCCGAGCCTTTGGAATTAACTAAGCGGGATCAGATTCCAGTTTCGGCAGAGTATGTGTCGAAGGAGCCATCATCAATTCTAACTACTACTGCCCCACTTCTAGAAGACAGTGTTAGGGCGACACTATCACCGCTTGGGGTTCCTAATCCTGTGGACAATTCACTAGCAGGTCGATGCAGCCTCGAGTCTCATAGAAAGAGTATCGAATTGAAAAACTTGAGAAGGCGAAGCGCCGATATTATTAGACAGAAAATAGATGGCAATAAAAAGCGAAGCATGAGTACTGGTCGGAAAAGTATGTGTGAAAATTGTATTGCAGGGCATATAATTTGTGACGAACAAATAGATGCTGGACAGCCAAATATCAAAGAAAAAGAAAAGGTTACGGAAGAGGTCAATGTTACTGAGAAACAATGCCTGTTCGATTCATATTACCATCCGCTTGAGGAACCTTCGTCTACATCCCTCTCAAACAGCGATAACACATACGCTTCAGGCAGTCAGATACTTAGAGGAACTGACGTCTTCTTAACACCAACAATTCAGCACGCAACCTCAGAAGCGGGTCATTGTAGAAAAGGAAAGGAATTGGAATTAGCTAATTTATCATCTACAAAAATTCATGTAAACCCTCACATAACAGCCCAAAAAATTCATGACAATGCCGAACTGCTTGAAAAACCAGGATCAGATCGCACAGAGCCGCTAGTTTCCACACAAACACTTCACAGTATCGTCAAGGTCGGCGCTTATCCCTTGCAGAGAGCCGCTGGTCTGGCAGGATATCTAAACCGACACTCCAAACGTATGAGCAACCTCTTAGCTACCGAGTCAATGGGCTATGTAGAAAAAGTGTCTGGCATGTGGAAAGGTGGCAGAAAGCACTACGATGACCCAAGAAGCCTAGGTCCTGATGATCACTTTGATGATGGTGAAGAGGACGATGTAATCTACTCCAGTGAGAGATTTCGCAAACACTTTGCTCTACCCGAAAATGAAAAGCTCCAAGCTACGTATTTTGGATTCTTAAATCGTGTATTACCATTATACGGTAAAATCTACATTAGTGATAGATCGTTCTGCTTTCGTAGCCTCCTTCCGGCTACGAGTACAAAGTTGATTTTGCCGTTGAAAGATATAGAGAATGTCGATAAAGAAAAAGGCTTTCGATTCGGCTACTCAGGATTGGTCATAGTAATTAAAGCTCACGAAGAGCTTTTTTTTGAGTTCTCGCACTCGGACACTCGCGATGACTGCGCCATTACACTCCTTCAAAACCTCGAAACTCTGAGATATCTCAAACAATCTGGTCTATTGACCCTTGAGGAAAAGGAGAGAGCAGAAGATGCCATTGCAGAAAATAAGGCACTTCAACAGGCTCGCTCCAGAGGCCATGGATACTTCGGTTTAGAATCGGCCCAGAATATCAAATGCCTCCAAAATGTATCCCCTCCAGTAATTTTTGATGATCCTCGATCTTCAATACTAGATTTCAAACCACCTGAATCGCTTCGGATAACTTGCCTCACAATTGGCTCCCGGGGAGATGTACAGCCTTATATTGCGTTATGCAAGGGCTTAATTTTTGAGGGCCACCAGCCTACGATTGCTACTCATCTTGAGTTTAAGGACTGGGTTGAAAGCCATGGAATTAAATTTAAGCCTGTGTCCGGGGATCCGGCTGAATTGATGAGAATATGTATCGAAAATGGCATGTTCACTTACTCTTTCTTAAAGGAGGCATCTTCAAAATTTAGAGGGTGGATTGATGAGCTTTTAACATCCGCTTGGGATGCTTGTCAAAGCTCTGACATTTTGATTGAAAGTCCAAGTGCCATGGGTGGAATCCATATTGCTGAGGCATTAGGAATACCTTATTTTCGTGCATTTACCATGCCCTGGACAAGAACACGAGCATATCCACACGCATTTGCTGTTCCAGAGCACAAAATGGGTGGTGCATACAACTACATATCATATGTGATGTTTGACAATGTCTTCTGGAAGGCAATCTCCGGCCAAGTTAACCGCTGGAGGAAAAAAGAGCTAGGTCTCCATGCCACAAATTTAGAGAAAATGCAGCCGAATAAGGTGCCATTTCTATATAACTTTAGTCCAGCTGTTGTTGTACCGCCATTAGACTACAGTGACTGGATTCGGGTTACAGGGTATTGGTTTCTAGATGAAGGCACAGACTGGACGCCACCAAAAGAATTGACAGAATTTATTTCCAAGGCAAGAAAAGACGGGAAAAAGCTGGTTTACATTGGGTTTGGGTCTATCATCGTACAAGACTCAATTGCACTCATGAATACCATCACCAAATCTGTCGAAAAAGCCGATGTTCGGTGTATTCTATCACGTGGCTGGTCAGATCGACTACAAAAAGACACTCGTAAAGTCGAGCCGCCTTTACCATCATCAATTTTAAAAATTACATCTGCGCCTCACGATTGGTTGTTCAGGCAAATTGATGCTGCAGCCCATCATGGTGGGGCAGGTACCACAGGTGCAAGCCTTAGAGCTGGTATTCCTACTATCGTCAAGCCTTTCTTTGGAGACCAGTATTTTTTTGGCTCACGTGTCGAGGACCTTGGAGTTGGCATAATAATAAAGAAACTAAATATCAGCGTCTTTTCTCGAGCACTGTGGCTTGCTTGCAATGACGAGAGAATGATTTTTAAAGCCAAGATTCTTGGCAAAACTATCCGAAAGGTACCTTCCGTCTTCTGATTTACTAATGCGAAACTAATTCAAAGTAGGAAGATGGTGTCAGTACTGCGATTCAATCAATTTACCGTGACCTTGAGTACGCAAGGTCGCTCATAAAGCTTCGTGATGATAAAATAGATCCGGATGACATTGAAGATGTAGAAGAGAGCTGGACTTTTATTGGCGAAGATAACGATCCTGATCTTGTCCGTCGTGTTCAAGATTGGGAATCAATGACCATGACCGGGACTTCGCCGTGGAGGGAAAGAAATGAAGACGACTCGGATGGTAGCTTCATCAGAAAGGAGCTAGAAGTTGTAATTGGCGCAACGGTGTTGGCTAGCTAAGGGTTTGCTTGCATTAGCATACGATTTACGGCAATTATGTGTAACGAACAGTCATGATGATGTAAGGTAACTATTTTTTATCACTCGGGATTTTCTTCGCCAGCCTCTAGGGAGAGGACAGTAAATTCAAATATAGTAATACGGGATGGGAGATTCGGAGAAATATATATATCAGATGTGGCAAGAAAATATAAAAATAACTGCGGCTTGTGATGGAGAAGCTGATCTTGATGTGAACAAGATGATTATGATAATACGCAACCAGAGAGAGGATAATTACATGTCGTTTATTCTTAATCAGTAGAAAGGAAAATTGGGTTTAATCCATTACTTCTTCAAATGAGTCAGAGTGATATAGATAGGAAGTTATACCTCTTGTCTACCATGTTTGTATATCAGTATTGGACTCGGCTAGAACTAGGTAAACTGCACTTGCATTCAAAACAAAGCTTCGATCTCCTTAATATCCAGTGTTATAATACTGCAAAGAAATTCAAATCAAGTATAGTACAACAGCAAAGCAGCCCAAATCTCTTGAGCAGATCTCTGCAATCTTGAGGCCACTACACTTCATCTTTGTTATTTCATATAGATCCATCAGTTTCAGGCTTTAAATAGACTTGAATACACGATCTTCTCACTTGGAATCAACCATGAGGCTCTAGAATAGCACATTCCCGGGCTTGGTACATTGTGGATGCTGTTGGCTTGGGAGAGGATGATTGGTGTCACAGTAGGGAGTGAGGTGGATGGTGTCCGACGATGTCTGATCTGGTGAATTAGATTGTCTACAAAGAGGAAAGAATCTAGTTTTATTTTTTATATTTTATTTTTATTTTTAATACATTCGGTCCTAAGCTAAAGCTATGTTTTACACATTGGGTCAAGGACCGGCGGATCCGGCAGGGTTCCCTGTAACTTTTCCTACAGCCTAACTCGTTCCAACTTCGAGAATCGCTACCAAAAGTGCAGCTGATTGAACAAGAACGAAAAATCTCAAAAATCAAAACAACTCCGAATACCAGATTCCTCCATATTGGGCCCAGTAAATGCGCTCCTCACACATTCCCTCGTCCGTCACATCTTCCAAATGACAAAATTTATTCAATCTCCGCTGAGAGCAAGAGATGAGTTAGCAGGTACCTTTTATCCAGCCGGTATCCTGCTATTGGTTAGTAGATGCCCCAAAAGGGGACATCGTTGAGGTTGCTGTGGCCTCAAACTTCTTCTTCAGATCCCAGAGCTCCGAAACCTGTTGCCTCGGCCATCGAGACATCCTTCGCCGCGGCCATGATCGCCTCTTCGGCCTTTTTTGCTGCAGCCCTGGCTCGTGCCACCTTCGCGAATTCCCCTTGTTCGATTTGGCGAATCCACGCGATCTGCTCTTTGGTCACCGGTCCGGATTTTTTTGGTCTGACTTGGCAGGCCCGAGAATCAGATCGGTGAGGTCCCGCACAGTTGCGACAGCGTGTGAGGGCCTTGCGCTCTGTTTCGGAGTGCATATTTGATCCGCAGTTCCAGCAAGCCGGAGCGCGGGAGCAACTACGAGTGGCGTGGAAGCCCAAACAGCGTTTGCACTGTTCAATTGATCGACGAGGCTTATGGATGGTAGCCATACCCGAATCGTCGAAAAGGCGGAAGTCCGCACGAGGGTCTTCGTCCCGGTGAAAAAGGGCATGCCAGTTTCGATAAGGCGATCCAGGCCGACATGTCCCATGAGGTCGGACCTGGAATGGACACGCGCTGGTCGTAAGGAAGATCTCAGCGGTGACACTTGCAGCATCGGTCGCTACGGGGCCGTACTGTGAAACGATACTTACAGGTACGTTCAGTATCTGTAAGGCGACAAGATCCGAAGATGCTTCGAGTTTGGCGTTTTCACTTGCCAGCTTCGGAGAGACATCTAGGATCTCTTGTCGTATTTTTTCGTTCTTTGCTTTAATAGCAAAGCCGGTCTTTACTCGATGAATCGAGGTTATATCATTGTAAGAGAGATTAAGCGTATCCGCTACCTTACTTTTCAAAATGTTGTTGGAAAGATTCCGCCATGGGTGCTCCTTTTCCAGGCGAAGGAACAGTCGCTTATCGACTTTCGCCTTGGGAGCTTCTTTCTTTTGGGCTCTCACCGCAGGTCGCGGCACAGCCTTTGCTATAGGAGCTGCATTTTGTCGCAGTCCATTTTTGGCCACCGTGGCCCAGGTGCTTTTTACAGGCAGCACTGGGACGGCGGGAGTTGTATGGCTCCTGTCTTCTGGAGCCCTTGGGGTCGGGTTCGCAGGGCGAGAAGGGAGGACGGGTGGCGTGATGGCCGGGCCCGTGGCCATGTATTGCGCAACGGCGGCGCGTAAGTAGACTCTCATCGAGTCTACGAAATTTCTATTTGACCCGTTGGTCAAAGAGAGGAGGGTGGCTTCGACGCCAGAGATGGCGGCGGAACAGTGGGCCAGATTTGCCGCTGTTTCGGCGGCGCGTCGTTGTTCAGCTTCGACAATTGGTTGGAGCTCGAGGAGACACTCTATTTTCGTGGCAGCTGTTAGCTGCGACGTTGATGTTGATGCTGCTTTGGGTGCAGCGTTTTCCGACGGTTTTGACGCTGTCGGAGGAGATTTTGACGATTCTCCAGTCCCGTGAGGGACGGAGGTTGGTTGGGGAAATTCCTCAACAATTTCAACTGACTCGATCATGTCAGTATCAGGCTCAGTGACGGCGGGGAGGGCTTTTTCCTTCCCTTTAATTGAGACCTTGCTCATCCCCGCGCATTTCGGAGACTGGGCAAGGTCAGATAATTGATCGAGAGCCCTTGGGCGGACTCTCGTGTTGTCCAACTTGGCGTTGGGGCGCTTTTTGCGAACTGGAGGCATGGTGAAAAATGCCTACGCTCGATCATAATTCGATGATGAATGCGACGAGATCGAGATTGGAGGAAAGAAAGAAAATATGAATTTTCGAATTTTTCGGAATGTGCTTTTGTTTTGTTTTCTATTTTTCGTTCGCCGGGGCGCCAAGCTTGACTTTAGTCCCTACTACCCACTAAACTACCTAGAGGCATGGACGCCGGTGCTTACTGCCCTGGTGGCTCCACCCTTGCTACTTCCTAACTAGGTTTGCAGGGCAGTTCTCTAGTTACATGATTGCGCGTAGCATAGCACCTGTACTTTTTCAGCCAGTCCCCGAGGCTCTTTACTCATTCGATGTATAACAACCACTCTCGAGATACTACTAATAGATCCATTTATAAATACCGCACCATCCATCCATAATGCAAGGCTCAGAGTTGGGGTAGGGTTGAAGACCTATTTATTTCTTCTCTGGGGTTTCTAGGGCAGGTCTTCATGTAAAACTCTGAAATAGAAAGCCACTTTGCTACACGTAGGGCCCCTTCCCAGGTTCCTAGCAAAAATTTCTTTGGGTCCCTTGAAGATGCTGGAGCTCGAGGAGGTCTATGAGCGGTTAAGTGGCACTCTAGGAAGTGCAATGGGGTTTTGAGCTGTCCGCAGCCACAATGAAGGTTAGCGCTCTCGTGATTGAAACGGCGGTGGTAGTCCTCAAAGTCACCATGTCCTGAGCGGGCTGCGGGAAAGATTTTTTTTTTGCATCAGATTTTAATTGCGTATCAGCTATCTAGCTATGACACAATATTGAGAAAGAATCTAGTATTAATGAAACTAATAATTTGTTAAGGACGCGTTAGCGTGCATTTACACATGTCCATATATCATGTGACTGCTTTGCCTGAACGTCTTGTTTCCTTGACAATTGGGGCCACAAGTCGGGTGAATAGAGGTATGTTTTGTTTTGTTCATTTACGTGCTAGGTAAAGTGATTCCCGTTGCACTCCTACTGGAGCTTAAGCACAGGTGGGGCCGGGCTGGATCAGGTTAATTACCATTAAGTACATCTACTTTGACCCACCTGAATGACCGGACCACCTCAGACTTCTTTTTTTTTTTTTTTTTAAATCATTTAATGTGTATTCAGCTATCTAGCTATGAAACATGACCGGCGCTATGTATACATATTGGATGACTCTTTTGACGTTAGAGACACTCATACTCTGGATTTCATTTGCAAATACCACTATGAGGTATGTTCGCTTACACAAACAGTCGACCCTCCTCCGTTAGTACCCACCAAAGGGAATTTCAAAACCTTTGATTATCCAAGCATGCCTTCGTCATCAATGCATACCAGCGCCGCGAGAAATGTGGTTGTGTTTTGCCGGATTCGAACCAGCGATCTACTGTCTCAAGTGGGATATGTGTCCAAGCTATCCAGACTCTACTTGGCAGACCGGCCAAGATGATGTACCACCGCACCATCCAACCATGGCAGTTTTTATAGTGTCACCTGCACTCTCGCAGCCGAAGACTTGGCACGCACAAAGCTCAATTTGTAAAAACTCCTTTCCAAAATTCAAAATTCCACGCCCGTCGAGACTGTATCCAATCCTCTGCATCATCTTATTAACTTGTCCTGATCTCTCTCATATCCATCCCAAGGAATTGTCTTCCAGATTTGTGCGCCACGCTTTGCTTCCTCCGTCGGGTGTAAATATCGGCGTGGGCGTGTATCTGGCGACCAGCTAAGGCCAGAGAAAGTCGACAAGAGGTGTGGTCATTGGGATTAGGATGTACTAGGTCGTACTTGTAAACTTGATGAGGTTTAGGTAGGAATCGATTTCGTTGGGAGTGAAAGATTGATATGGTGGAGTAATTTGAATCATTGCCTCGTGGGCCAACTTGTTCGGTATTGCGAAGTTTGACTGAACTTGGCTCTGGGAGAATATTTCACTCCCAGGTTCGTAGAGGACACCGCGTACAGGTGTTCAGTCTTGCCCTCCACCTCAGACTTCACCCATGTGTTGAATCATGTTAAGCTCAATCGTCCAGAGAACCTCCTTTTGCCGCGCCGAAGCGCAAATTCCTCCTCAGCCTCGGCCAGCACGCGCCCAGGCCCTTGACACCTTCGCCGTCTGTAACTTTTCCCTTTCATTCTTTCCC